AATACCAATATCAGACATTTTCCGCGTAGCGTTTGATCTGACCACAAAAACACCAGACAAAAAAAATGTCTCATAGCAATACGTCTGAAAACCTTTTTTATTAGTAAATTTTGGTTATTTGATGCGAACAAAACAATTTTCAGACGGTTTTGAAAATGTTAACAAATTTTACCGATCGGTATAATGGCAATATGTCTGAAAATTGTTGGACATGATAAAATAAGTTGTCCACATGTGCAAAAAATGTATACAATCAGACAAAATAAGTGTAGAACCTTCTCTATCAGACAACTTTTCGATACTCAGATATTTTTGACACAGCAGAAATGGCCTCCCACGCAGTTGCTACACTTTCGACCGTTCAATCTAACGATTTTATAGGGTTTTTGCCGTATTGCTATGAGATATGGTTTTGGTCGTCATCTATCGTACTATAGACGAACATTTCAAGAACAAAATTTAGCGACATAGGTTCAGCTGTTCTCTAGTTTTAGTGAGACAATGTCGTCAATCAATCTCGCTTTTTTTGAGAAGAAAATAGATCATCTGATGACTTCTGCAGCGTTGGGAATGGCGAGAGAGAGTTTCAGACTCTTACTGACTAAAAATCACCCCGTTCCTACACCTGTCTTGAGTCGAAGCCCCGGCAACCCGGTAGGTTCTCGATAACTTAGAATTGATTTTGATTTATGTTTCAGATTTTCAAAAACTTGAACACTAAGGAAGTTACCCTTTCCTTGACATCGGAAACATCTGGAGGTCTAGTTTATATGTCGTACAGACCAGACACTAGTATATCCCAAGTTCTTTCGAGACATGTAAGTATGATACATTATTAGTCGATTAGAAACAAGTGGGTTCTCCACAGCTAAGGGTTAAAATAAATATTTATTGCAAATTTTCAAAATAAACAATAAATAAATTTGGTTTAAATAGTTTATTCTCAAAAAGACAAAGGAAGCCAGTTACATGAGAATATAAGCTAACATAAAGTAAATAAACTAACTATCAAAATTAAAAGGTCTTGATTAAATAAGTAACTATTGGTAATTTATCAAGAAGGCACCTCAAATGTCAAATTAATTTTATTTTTTATCTGTTGCAGTTCTTTCCCTACAACAACGCAGATGGTGTTAGGACATGGGCGCATACTCTGTCACCAATCATGTTAGATGTTATTGCAAATAAAGTGCCGTTCCCAGAAGTCTGCTACAGTCATTGTTAAAATAACGTTTCGAGGAAAGGAGAACTGAAATTGTTAACACATCAAAAGTCTAATTAAATAATGTAATAATATTGTTTCGTTATTACCTATGTCTGATTGTAAAGTACCCATCCATTTAGCAGACTTTTTTTTGAGGGTACAAATTAAATCGTCTAATAAGTTCCCCCGCTTAGTAAAAACCACCCCGTTCCTACTCCTGCACTTCCGAGCCGGAGCCCCGGCAACCCGTTAATTCCATCGCGGCTTGGGCCTTTGTGCCCCTAATCCCCTATGGTGGTCTGATGGCTCTTTGAGACAAACGCAAAACGCGGGGCACCGTATGATCGAGTCTGGTTCTGGGGGCTTATGGCCTACTCTTGAATCCAATTCCGATCGATCGACATTGGTATTGTAAATTTTATACTCTTGAGTATAATCGCCTCGCGATTCCCGACAACGTGCGGAGTGTCTTTCGCAACGGCCAGTGCGTGCGCAATCTATTTGACTGACTTAGGTTCGATTTCTAACAAGGTCCAAGCCAATACCTACCGATATTCGGTAACCAATCACAAACTATTGATTTTTTTTCGTTTTTAAATATTGTTACAAACATATCTTTATCAACAGACAAAGATAATTATTAAGTTTAGTTTAACTGTAACTGTCAACTAAGGACGTTACAACCACGTCCTTGCGGCCAACAATAAATTTGAGTTTTGGCATATCAAGAGCATATCATATCATTTTGATATTAAATAATTGCTTTTAATAAAAATAAATGTAAGTGTGGGAGAGCCATGCTTGGCACGAATTATTGAGTTATTTATTAAAACATAACTATTTTATTAAGTTATTTTAATTTTAATATTTTTTATCTATAAGTGAAACGAAACGTTTTTATTTCTGAACGAACTGTCAATGTCATTTATCGACAGCAGTAATGTCAATGTCGTACATAATTTGTTTTGTTAGCGGTTTGTTTCCCGTTCCAAACTATTGCGGATATTTTTGCTGCTAAAGCACTATATTTTACACGTTTTTGTGTTATCGGCCAGTGAGTGCTACACACATTTTCCATTATCATGTACATTTTGTGACGACAAAATGAGTGACGAAACCAACGAGGAACGACAGGACAACGAATTCGAAGCTTTACAGGTTATTATTTTATAATAATATGTAAATAAAACATTAAACGATGATGCAAACTATTAAAAGTTTACAAAAGCCATCTTCAACTTTTTTTTTAATAAAAAATATTTACCTCCTTGGTTCCATAAAGTTTACGTGTTCGTTTATTTTTTTTTATTCGTGGCGGGAATAAAAATTTAGGCCAGGGAAACTATTTTTATACCTGCAGACTGTTTGTAAATTTTTTCTATCATAGTTTATTGTCTGTTACGTACACTACTACACATATTTAATGCTTGTAAAATAATAATATAATATGAGATTTTGATTAATAAATTTCTATAAAAATTAAATACTTATGTCTTCTACTTTTATTTAATACATTCTTACCTTTTAACGCCTACCCTACAAATGTGATACTGAGACATTAAAATTTACAATTTAACTCGTCGAGTACCGGTTTTGTAGACACAATTATAGAACAATAGGTTGCGGTCACCGGTGACCGCTTGGTGTTTGACAGTTTAATTACCTATAAGCGGAAACTTGTTATTGGCCGTTTATCTATAATTTAATCTATGCTTATGTTATACCTAGCTGTAAGTTTTCCTAAAATTGTAAAATAAAAAAAAAATAAAATAAAATCCTAAACACTACTTAATCCTGTGTCCGCTTTTCTTCTTAGATATAGCCTAAATCGAAATAAACCATTCTACCCGGTGATCAAGTACCGGTTTTGTAGACACAATTATAGAACAATAGGTTGCGGTCACCGGTGACCGCTTGGTGTTTGACAGTTTAATTACAAAAATGGTGAAATAACTGTTTGCTTGGATTAAACTCCTTGCCTAAGCCCCAACTATCATTAGCAAATATACTTAGTACAATTGAAATAATGAATTCATCCATCTAAATAACTATTTCAAGTTTACATACACACTTAAAAAAAAGAAAGTAGGTACTTAGTTTTTTTTTTCCAATTGGAGGTATTAATGTAATAATATCTGTTAAACTTGGATTACAATAATATAACTCGCAACACCGGTGACCGCTTGGTGTTTGATAGTTTAAGGCTAGTTTCACAATGCCTGAAGTTTTTGTTCAAGAGGCACATTAAAAAAAGGAAATGGAAGTGAAAATTAATTGATTTTTCTTCTCCTATTAATATCTTTTGCTTGGTCGCGGGATGCAAGGCAGTTATTTATATCCCTGGGGCCCACAGACTTCAGTGTTCTGGTGTTTTCATGGTTGTCACTGCCGGAGATCCTGGCTTACAGGAGTTGCAACAGTTTTTGGAGGTAGTGGTAGGGTTGTTCCAAAAAAAAGTAAAACACATTTAAAAAAATGCCTCATTGGCCGAGTGGTCGCAAGTGTGACTGCCAGGCAAGGGCCTCAGGTTTGATTCCCGGGTCGGGCAAAGCATTACTGGGTTTTTAAAAATTTCTCTGTGTTAGCATGAAGTCTGGAATTGTGCCCGGTATATGGCAATAGGCTCACCCCCTATTACATGGGACTCAACATAAAATAGTGAAAAGTGGGTGTTACATGGTACAGTGGCATTAAGTGCCATAATTAGCACCTCTGCCTACCCCGTCGGGGATAAAAGGCGTGATGTTATATTATATTATAAAATAATATTGATAATATAAAATCCTTACTATCCTTACTATTATAAATGGGAAAGTGAGTTTGTTTGTTTGTTTCTTGGTTTGTTCCGCTTTCATGCCGTAACTTCTAAACCGATTGCTTTGAATTTTTGCAGGCGTTAAATTATAATTCCGGAATAAATAATAGGGTACTTTTAATCCCGGAAAATTTATATTCCCGATATTCCCGAGGGAAAACAAAAGAATTGGTATAGATGGCGCTGTGTATATTGGTATATGTCACATAGGCTACTTTTATCCTTTTGTGACGCGAGCGAAGCCGCGGGTAAAAGCTAGTAATAAAATATTTTTTCTGTCACTTTCACAGGCTATTTACGGTGATGCGGTTGTGGACAACCGTGAGGCAGTAGCTTGGAAGATATGGAGACCTATAGATCTGATGCTTACATTGAATCCCTTACACAATTCAGACATCAAAGGCATACACTGCTCCGTTACATTACACTTGAAATGTTGTCCGAATTACCCTGATAAGTATGTATTGATTTTCCTTAATTTAAATCTTTATAATGATATATAATTCTTCTGTGTATATGTCACTGAACTCCTAAACGGCTTGACCGATTTAAATACATTTTTCTGTACGCGTTTGAGTGGCGCCCTGGATGGTTTAGATTCACAAATCAGCTCGGCAGATGGCGCTGCAGTCTGTGTCTAGGTTATTTATCCTAAACGGCTGAACTAATTTGAATGAATTTTTATCTATACATTCAAGTGGATATGCAGGACAATGTCTGTCGGGTCCGCTAGTCTTTATATAATTATGTAACTCTTCTGTGAGTGTGTATGTCACTGAACTTCTCTCAAACGACTGGACCGATTTTGATGATTTTTTTTGTGTGTGTTCAAGGGGATCTGGGAATGGTTTAGATTCAGAAATCAGCCCAGCAGATGGCGCTGCAGTCTGTGTTTAGGTTATTTATCCTAAACGGCTGAACTATTTTAATGTTTTTTTTTACAAATTCAAGTGGATATGCAGGACAACGTCTGTCGGGTCCGCTAATATTATTTATATATTTTTTTTAAATAATGAGTAATGCCTCAGGTCTAAACACATATTATCTAATTAATAGCTTATAGTTTAATATCTCGATTGTGACATAGATATATTTTCCTTCCACATTAATTAATATAATTATTGTTATGGCACTTAATAGGGTAAATGCCATTTTTTATTTTAATGTCCATCTGGCGTATTATTTTAAAACTTAAAAAAAATACATGAGTAATTAGTAAAAATACATAAGACTGCCTCGGTGGCCGAGTGGTCGCAAGTGCGACTGCCGGGCAAGGGGTCTCGGGTTCGATTCCCAGGCAGGATAAAGTATTACTGGGTTTTTTAAAAATATCTCAGTAGTAGCACGGAGTCTGGAATTGTGCCAGGTATATGACAATAGGCTCACCCCCTATTACATGGGACTCATAACATATGTAATGAAAAGTGGGTGTTACATTGTACAGTGGCATAATGTGTACCTCTGCCTACCCCTTCGAGGATAAAAGACGTGATGTTATGTTATCAACATCAAACCAGTGCACTGTTTAAACATTTTTATAATAAATATATCCTCTGTAAAGATTTTTAAAAAAAATAATTAAATTTCAGGCCGCTTAGCATAGCTATCAACAAGATGAGAGGCCTGTCCACCGAGAAAGGTACGCAGTTGCTGTCTGAATTAGAAACTCTAGCGACGGAACTGACCGGAGAAGTCTGTATATTTCAACTAGCTCAACATACGCAGGTAATTACTTCCTAAATAAAAAAAACTGAGAATAAATATAAATAAAACGTAAAACTATGTAAAAAATCTTAAGTCCCCCCGTTAACTTAATTTTTTTAAACTTTGCCCCACACTAGGGTTTTCTCCTGTGTCGTGGGTGCGTTTACATACATACAAGTTCATATATACATGACACCCAGACCCGGAACAACAATTTTTGGATCACACAAAGAGTTGCTCCGTGCGTGAATTAGGTAGTTTCCAGGGTATCAAAATTAAAAATCTAATTAGTACGTCAGTTAGATAGTGAAAAAGTATTAGACACGTATTTTTTTATTTTCTCGTATTAAACTGTCAAACACCGAGCGGTCACCGACCGCAACCTATTGTTCTATAATTGTAGTAAATACCGTCATTATAGACACAATTATAGAACAATAGGTTGCGGTCACCGGTGATCGCTTGGTGTTTGACAGTTTAATTTGCAATACTTAGATAAAATGGCGCTAAGTTTGGGAGTGGGAGGTTGTTACGTCATAACGTGCTACAAAATGTGGCACGCTGTGACGTCACACGATATTTCAAATTAATATATCGTCGAAAGTATTTTGATTTTGTGAGAAACGAAAAAATACGTGTCTAAAGTTTTAAATTAATGTACCAGACGGATATTAAAATAAAATTTAGGAAACTACCCTATTGAACCCGCTGCACGTTGTGCGGCAGCCGGTCGCCCAGCCACCGCACCAACTGTGCAGTCAATTAATTTAAAAAGAAGTATTAGTACCTAGCATTATAGAGGTATACTGTAGAACTTGTCACCTCCCCTCCTCTTCCCGCGTAGTCGTAAGAGCTGACTAAGGAACTGAGTATTGTAACAGAGATCTCTCCTGTGTCTAGTTTATAATTGTTTTGTTGTTTTTTGTTCGTTTCTATGCCAAATAAATGCTTTCTTTCTTGATAAATCTGACTATCTAATTAGCTTGATAAAATTGAATAAATATTCCAATTAAACAATTACCTTAAGAAATATAAAGATTAAAATTAAGCTGCTAACTTAATTTTTAGTGGTTAAATTCCATTAATATTTCTTTATTTATATAGTTTAAAAGAAAACTGTAGTCATCTCATCATCTCTCTCATCACGGAATAATGTGATCCACAGATTGTTGTTCCGGGTCTGGGTGTGATGTGTATGTGAACTTGGATGTTTGTAAACGTACCCACGACGCAGGACAAAATAATAATGTGGGCCACGTTTAAAACGTAAAAGTTAAAAATTGTTAATGTATTAATTAAAAAACCTTAAGTCAATATTACAATAAGCCTTTGTTACCATCACAATAAAATAAAACTAATCACCACTCTATAAGGTTCAAATTACCAAATTATTTCAAAACTTTAAAACGTAATATTTCAGCAATTTCTTCACGACCACAACAAGCCGACGCTCTCGTTCTACGATGAAATGTTACAACAAAAGACTGAACAGGAACAATTGAAACTACATGATCTGAAAGTTAAGGAAAATGAAGAGGTATGGTACTGTAGTCTAAGATCCTTCTAATATTCGAAAATTTGTAACTTTGTGTACCCTATATGTTATACTTAAGCACGTCGAAACGGCCGAAGGGGTTATTTTTTTAAGGGGGGAAAAATCATCGAATGGCTTCTCCTGCCTGGGTGAGATGGGAGGGAGTGTCAGACTCTTACTGACTAAATACCACCCCGTTCCTACTCCCGCCCTTTGAGCTGGAGCCTCGGTAACCAGTTAAGTTCTCCGCGGCTCCTGTCATAGGTAGTAGGTAATAGGGTGTGAGCCTATTGCCATATACCACCATTCCAGACTCCTTACTACCACTGAGAATTTTTTTAAAACCCAGTAGTGCCACTGTCCTATGTAACACCCACTTTTCACTATTTATGCTATGAGTCCCATGTAAATAAAACCCAGGACCCGACTTGCGACCTCTCAACGAGGTAGTATTTTTTAAAAATAGGAGGTGTATTTTATTCATCTATGCAAACTCAACGCAGTTTAAACTGTAACTTATTGATTCAACTATGGTAGTTATGCATATCAATAGGATTGGTAGAAATCAATACATAATTGAAATGTCTCAAAAGAAATTGATTTCTTTAGGTATTCTACACACGACATCACAACTTGTAATAGTTAGATAGATTTAAGTGTGGGAGAGCCATGCTTCGGCACGAATGGTCCGGCTCGACCGGAATAATACCGCGGCCTCACAGAAAACCGACGTGAAACAACGCTTGCGTTGTGTTTCGTCGTGTGGGTGAGGTTACCGGAGGCCCAATTGGGGATAAATATAAAAAAAAATAAACTCACCTCCCCAGTCTCCTCAATCCCCGAATCCTTCACAATCCTCAAATTCCCAAAAGGCTGGTAACGCACTTGTAACGCCTTGGTGTTCCAGGTGTCCATGGGCGGCACCCATTGCTTACCATCAAGTGACCCGTCTGCTCGTTTACCGACTTATGCCATAAAAAAACAAGCATATTTTAATGTAACTTCCATTTTTACCAGTTACCTACATGCGTCCCAAGTTTAATGAGGCCTACCGTATTATCTCACGAGAAAAAATCTGAAATAATCTATGTTTTTATAATAACTATCGTGAGACATACTAAATTAAGTAAAAACGCAGGTTACTCACGTGAATATACTGAGAAAAGCTCTACTAGTTTCGAACCACAGATGGGTTCTTCCTCATGAGCAGCGTGCGCGGTCGCGGCGACGTCGCGCAGCTCACTGGCTGGCGTTGGCGCTCGCCTCGGTGTGAAACTAGTAGAGCTTTTCTCAGTATATTCACTCGAGTAACCCGCGTTTTTACTTAATTTAGAAATAATCTATTTGGCAAAAATTTAGGTAACAAAATATGTTGTTATGTATGTTGTACTTATGGAAAGTCCCGGTACATTTTGCTTTACGGCATGCACAATTATTAAACTAACATTTCGCCTTTCTCTTTTCAGCGCCAAAAAATGAAAGTTGAGATCCAGAAGAGACAAGAAATATTGCGTTGTGCGGGTCGGCAGCGTGTTCATAGATCTAGCATTAGCCAGGATAATGACAGCATAGACGGACAGGGAGACGCTCCTGAACTTGTATAGTACGTATAATATTAAAATAATCTAACTTTACACCTTTAATTGTTATCGCAAGGGCCGATTTAACCAACGCCAAATAAATTTTGACTGATGAATAACTTTGAACATTTATTAATTTAGTTATATTATCAATTAAGGTAGTGTAATTAAAAATAAAAATCCCAAAATAAATAAATAGAAATAAAAAAAACTTTGAACATTTGACAATTTTATTCTTCCATACTAAAAACTGTCAAATGTCAATGTTATTCTACAGTTAAGAAGTAACTGGCACAATGTACATCTCTGCCTCCCCTGCGGGGATAAAAGGCGTGATGTTATAATGTTATGTAATTGAAAAATAGGCCCTAAGGTAGGTAGACGGGTTACCGGGGCTCCGGCTCGACGTGCAGGAGAAGGAACGGGGTGGTTTTTAGTCAGTAAGAGTCTGACACTCCCTCCCGCCTCACCCAGGCGGGAGCCGTCATTCGATGATTTTCCCCGCTTAAAAAAAGGTAGGTAGGCCAAATGTACCTCTAAAATTAAAATGGCTGATGATAATTTG